GGTATATCTTCCTCACGGATTCGAAGTTGATGATATCCAGAACGGAGATCTATCTTGGAGAAAACTGTAGCACCTTCCAATTGATCAAACAGGTCATCAATTCTGGGTAGAGGATACTTATTCTTGATAGTGACCTCATTCAACGCTCGATAATCCACGCACATTCTCTGGGTATGATCTTTCTTCTCCACAAAGATGACTGGTGCTCCCCATGGCGAAGTACTGGGTCTAATGTATCCTTTCTGAAGCAAATCATCCACCTGTCTCTTCACCTCAGCTAATTCATTAGCTGCCATTCTGTATGGTCTCTTATGGATAGGGTTGGTTCCAGGTACCAAGTCTATCCGAAACTCTATATCTCTCTTAGGTGGCATACCTGGCAAATCCTCGGGAAACACGTCTGGGTAGTCTTGTACTATGGGGATCTCTTGTAGAGCAACTTGGTTTAGGTTCACACCATGAGATTTAGGAGAGAACACAAAGAAAGAAACTGTTTCCCCATTGCTACTGGTTAAAGTCACCTTACGGTTGGCACAATCTATAACTCCTCTGTGACGAGATAACCAGTCCATCCCTAAGATAACATCTAGATCTTTGGATTCTAGCAAGATAAGCGAGGAGGGGAAAGGAACTTCTTCTATTTCTATAGTAGCGGAAGGACAATACTGTGTCGAAAATACTTGATTGCCTGGGGTATTAACTAGTAAAGGTCTCCCAAGACTAACAACTTCCATCCCATGATTGCTCGCAAAACTTTTAGACAAAAAGGAATGTGTGGCACCGGAATCAAAAAGCACAGTTGCGGGTATAGAGTTAACAGGAAACGTACCCAAAACCACATCTGGTGCATTCTGAGCTTCTGCTGCTGCAACATGATTAACACGTGCCTTCGGTGCTGGAACATTGGAGTTGTTCGGGGCTAGAGCGTTCTTCACGCGCCGAGGCTTAGGACACTTATCAGCATAATGTCCTGGATCACCACAATTGAAGCACACCACTGGCTTGCTTCCCTGTTCCCTCCTGACGGGCTGGTTCTGAGCTGAAGTTGCTGCAGGACGAGCAACCATGTTGCGGTTGTCATTGCCACGATTACCAGTATTGTTGTTGTAGAACTGGCGTTGGGGGCGGATAACTGATGAAGATCCTCCTTGAGAGTACGATGGAGCTTGAGGTCCAGTAACGAGACGCGGCCTCTGGTTACTACCCTGTTGTGCCTTGAATTGGGCAGCCCTGCGCATCTTCTGCTCCATCCGGTTATACTTGTCTTCCTGACGAATCGCCTTGTCCACCAACTGCTGGAAATCCCAGAAATCCGTAGACATCAAGGCATAAGACAACTCATCATTCAGTCCCTCCAAGAACTTCTCCTGACGCTCTTCATCAGTGCGAACATCTTCCGGAGCATAACGAGCTAAACGGTTGAAATCATGGAGGTACTCGGTGACCGAACGAGATCCCTGGTTGAGTGCTCTAAATTCTCTCTTCTTTAGAGCTACAACACCCGCTGGTATGTGTGTCTTCTTGAAAGCGGCCGTGAATTCCTGCCACGTAATAGGCTCTCCTTCAGCCCTGCCTTGGCGAAAATGATCCCACCATTCAGCAGCAGGACCATGTAGTTGATGCGAAGCAAAAGAAACTTTCTCCTGCTCAGTACACTGGATCAAATCCAACTTCTTCTCCACCGCATGCAGCCAATCTCCTGCTTCTACTGGATTGGTGGTGCTTGAAAAGGTAGGGGGTCTCACACGTAAGAAATCTGCCAGCTTGTTTTGGGGAGGTGGGGGTGGATTCTGGTTCTGATTGTTTGCCTGCTGATTCTGTGCCTGCTGCACTAACAGATTGATCAGTTGTGTTTGTTGGGCCAAAATCTGAGCTAGCGTGGGATCTCCTCCATTGTTAGTAGCTCCACTTCCACTTCCGGTGCGCGTGTTCACCATCTGACGATAAGCAGAGACAACAGGAAAGAACGACAGAGAGACACCCTTAGAACGGAGTTATTTAATTAATTTAAATTCTATATTACTCTTAACTGTGTATGGTTACATTTAAGTTGCATTAACACTATCTCACCAACTATCTTACACTCTGACAAGCAAAAGAACTAGACTCATGCTGTTACATCCCACCCATGATGTAAGCAACAACTAAACCCACACACTCACAAGCAAACTTAAACAAGCAATCTAACACAGCGAACTACGGCACCGATCTAACTAAGCGACTAATTCCGCCTTGCGTCGGAACGAAGCGATGGATCTTCTTCCTCTGGAGTAGCTGGCTCTCTTTCTTCAGGATCTTCCTCTTCTTCCTCATCACTTATGATGTCGATGACAGGTTCAGCACGATCGGGCCCAGCTTCACCCATCACGTGAATCTTCGAAGCTAACTGGAGACGAGGTGGCGGACATGTTCTCTTTCTTGCGATGAGGCGAAGCTTGGGTGTTGGCGGCGGCGTTTCTCCTTTAAGTTCAGCTAATTCCTTCTGTAGACGGTACACCTTGCTCTCCAACTTGCAAATCTTGCCTCGATTCCAGTTTTCCCTGTCATGAGCTGCTTTGTCTCGCTCCACACTTACTGCATCCATAGCACTAAGCATATGCACCGCATGCATCAGAGTGGCACTCTCTTCACCATCAGGACAGGTATAGGTTCCATAGTCTTGACCATGAGGCTTGTGGGGATGATACTGGAAAGCTGATGAATCCAACTCTTCTTCAAAACGTTGACGCAACTCTCCAATGGCCACCAAAGCTGCTTCTTGACAAGCATGGCAGTACGATCTTCCTCCAGCTTCGAACTTAAAGGACGGAAGGTCTTCACGATCACTAGCCAACGTCACACGAACACGACACTTCTCCTCGTCGGGGTCATGGAAAATTTGGCGATACTCGGGAGCAACTTCATAGCCTACCTCAAAAGACATCAACCTCAGCTCCCTGACGAATCCTAACACCTCGATCAAATTTCTCGGTGAATGGGGCGGCATCTAAAGAAACATAGAAGAGAAGAATTAATGCATATTTTTTTTAAGTTAGCTGCACCAGCTAGACTTAACTGATTTTTGACCAAAAAGGAAGAAAAATAAAAGAAAAGACACATACAAAGCTATTTTATAAATATATTTTTAGAATTTAACTTTTTGGACAGGGACAAATAAATTTTTTTTTTGACACATAACAAAAATAAAACTAAAATACTTATGATCTATTATAAGCACGGTACAGTGTCACCATAAGAAAGATGAGTAGTACTAGTGCTATCATGATTGTATCGATACCATAATAGATGTACAGTGCCGACTAATCAATGAAGTTTGCTAAGGCGGAATAAGAAACATTTTGAGAAGAACAACTTTTTGCTTTTAAAAGAAAGGAAATTGAATTAAATAAATTTTGTGCATAACCTTGCATGTGCTGCCAACTTATTTAATTTATAAGAGAATAGAGAAGAGCAGTTCTATTTTTTTTTTCAAAATATTTTGAAGGCTACTTAAGGTTTACCATTTGGCTTATCCTAAGGTCAAGGTGGCTCTGATACCAACTTGTCACGCCCGGAATTTCTATCCAAAATTCCAAACGCTTACATGTGTGTTAAACCCTCGTCCAGGAATCAACCGAGGCACACAACGACAATTTGATAATAGAGTACAAATAAATAACTATTTAATATTCGCAAATAATAAATTATTACAGAGGTAGATAGTTCCTCTCAAAAAAAATAACATTCTACGCAGCGGAAAAAAATAAAACTATAACAAACTACGGAACAGCTATGGCGACTCCACTCCACAGGCATCTTAACCAAGAACAAGCCTAAACCTCCAGATCATCACCTTCACTGAGATACTCCTCTTCTGATGAATGAATGTTGCAAGAATGAGCATATGACATACTCAACAAGTCACACAGCAAATATGCAAGTGCATAGGATAACAAAGGATGGCATGATATAGCTCATTTGGAGAAAACAGCATTTAATAAATATTTAAGAGAATAGTAAAACAGTTGTATAATTAATCAATATTAAATAAACACCATACAACACACCCATGTTGCATAGGCCCAACCACATTTGAACAACCAACCCCAGTTGAACAAATTAAACCTCCAAACCAGGAATTATCCATTCCAAACCAGGAGTCAAATTAATTACCACATTATTACCATTAATGAATAGTGTGAGACTAATCACGAAAAACATTGCTCAACTCACCCATAACCGCGGGTACGGCTATTCGAATAGTTTAAACTCTGATCAGAGGTGTACCACTGTACCCACAAGACACAACCCCACATCATGTCACCATGTGCCTCAATACCACCACGGTACCTCGGAAAGGAGTTGTGACAATACCCCTTGCACAACATAACCCATTACAGCGCACCTTTCCTGGATCATAATCACCCCCTTATAAACAAGGCATGGACTCCCTAGCGACGCCCATGGACTTCTCGCCACTTCTCAGTCTGGCGCACTATAATGAATCACGCTATACAAAAGATAAAGCCGTTGCCCACGCTGGCTTGTGGTTGGCACGATAAACGTTTCACAACAGTAGCTCGCGAACCGGTCCTTAATTGTCATGAGCACAACCATCAAAACCATATGCTCACAACCCACCTTAACCAGGTTTTAAATTATCAATTAATTATCCTTACACGATTAACCATCGTGAGCTACCATTTAATGTAACCATAATTAAAATAATAATATAATTTAGATTTTACCCCTTTAGTTAGCTTATGTTTCTAAGCATGGCTAAGCAAACATACATATAGCATTTAGCTGAACCAATCCAATATATAAGGTTCATGCTAATCAAATTATAACCCATAGGAAAATAAAGTCATCTACGGCCATTATATAATTGGGAAAAGGTTCACCACCCGATGATATTCGAAAACAATGCATAGTTGAAATTAAGTAATAGCTTTAAACGGGTTCAACATGCTCAAAGGTTTGTTTGGGATCTGTGTGACTTGCCTTGGGCTTCCACAAATGCTTCGGAACCTTCCTCAACGGAAACGCTCTCCTCCGGAACATCGGAAACTAAAGCAATTAAACAAAAATCAGCAAAACAGTACAAAAACAAGCATAAACAGTACATGTGGATATTTTTAACATGTAGATCTTGATTTTAGAAAAATTTAGCAACTTGAACCACCTGAAACGGATCTACGGTTATTTAGTTATGATTTTCCGAAGTTTTAATCTATTAGAAAAAAGAAAAAGAGGATATGATGACGTCAGCATGACGTCATCCATGGCCGGCCGGCTCGGGTTGGCGACCTCGCCGGAGCTAGGGCGGTCGGTCGGGTGATTGGAGGACACCTACGCGTAGAGGACGACGAGGCGAACCCAACGGTACTCACCACAACGCCTATCGATGACCGACGACGGCCGGCGACGAGAGAGGCGGCGGCGGCGGCTCGGTTGACCGGCGGCGGCGAGCTACAGCGGTCGGCGGTGAAAAAGGATGGGCGGCCGAGCTTCTCCACCCCTTGGCGCACCTCTTGGCGACGGCGGCAAGCGGCGGCGACGGCGGAGGCGGCGCGGTGGCGCAGCCGGAGACGGCCGGCGGCGGCGGCGGGCTAAAAGGCGGCGGCGCGGCGGCTAGGAGGCACGGGAGACCACGGGAGAGAGGGCAAACGAAAGAGGGCGACGAGGTGGTCCTATATATAAGCTTGGATTGAAGAGATCGGACTCCAAACGAGAGGAATCGCTTCGGGAAATCAAAAACTCGGTTTTGGAGATAAACTCGAAAACGAGTTTGATTCGGATAAAATACCCAACGATTTGCTCCGATTCTTGAGGGGAAAGATAGAGGAGAACGAGAGGATCAAAACCCCTCAAAAATCCGGAAGAATCGGGGTCGGATTGGAGCGGATTTGGAGAGGAGAAAGGGCGGCTCGGGCTCGGCAAGACCGGCCGGCCGGAGGTTGAAGAGAGGTCCGACAGGTGGGCCCCACCTGTCGGCCTCCTTGTGAGAGAGGGGCGGGCGGCGGCTAGGTGGGCCGGCTCGGCCGACTTTGGGCCGGCTTGGCCGCTCGGGAAGGAACGGATGTTGGGCCGAATTCGGCCGAGCGGCTTAGGAAGGGGTTTTTTGAACTTTTTCCAATAAAATAATTTGTGAAAAGTTGTTTCAATTATTAAAAATACTTCCCTTGCTCAAATAATTCCCAGAAAAATCTAGAAAATAGAGGAGCAAGCATAGTATTTAATAAAATTTTATCTAGCTTATTTTTATGTTGAAAATTTTCCTAGAAAATTAGGGTTTAGCTTGTAGGCTTTTAAAATAATTTCTAAAAATGATTTAAAATATGCATTTTTAATTTAGGCGATTTTTAGGGCGTGACACCTTCTCACCGAGTGGCAAGGGTCTCCCCGTGCCTCCACCTCCGCGCGCTCGATGATGATGCCTCGCCTCCGTGCCGCTGTGCCACCGCTGAGGTCCCTACCGCCGAGCTCCCTGCCGCCGAGCTCCTTCGCCGCGAGCTCCTTGGTCGCCGCCGAGCTCCTTGGCCGCCGCCAAGCTTCTTCCCCACCGCCGAGCTCCTTCTCCGTGAGCTTCTTCGCCGCGAGCTCTTTCCCTACCGCCGCCAACACTTGTCCGGGCACGAATCTGCCTATGCCGCCAGCTGGGCACCTGCTCGGGCTACTCCTCCTCCGCCATCGCATCCCGTTTGCTCGTTGTTGCGGTGGTATGGTCGGTAGTAGACGGCAAGGTGCCACGAGCTCTTCGGGGATGATGGAAAAGTGGATGGAAAATGCGACGGAGTGGCACGGTTCTAATTTCCCTAAATTTCAGTGGCACGTAGCCGATATCATGAATAGTAGTAGAATTTTTTTAATTCACCATGTTTTTTCCTTTCTTTTTTTACTTTCCATTGATGTGTTTGTGTTGGATTTATGTATACTCCTTGATGCCATGTGGTTGTCTCATTGTCTAGTTGTTGAATGTGCTAATTTTATTACTCAAGATTATGTATTTTGCTCTCATCCATTTCATAGATCTAGATAGGAGAGAGAAAAAATTTCCATCCTTTGGTCTATGTAAAAAAACAAGTGTATTATGTTTAATTTCCTATGATATGTTTTTGTTGGATTTATGTATAATCTTTAATGTCATGTGGTCCTCTCATAGATTACCATCCCTTAGTTATGAATAGTTCTCTATCCTTTACAGCGAACATAAGTTTGTTTACAAATATTTGTTGTTGATTTTTTTATATAGTTGTAAATGAAATTTTTGTAGAGATATGGACAGGCACCAACGGATGTATCATATGCCGAGGTTTTTGGCGTCATATACATATGAAGTATCTAAATTTTATGATATTGCCAAGGCGCACGCTGAAAACAACAATATGACGGAGATATATTGTCTATGTGCTGATCATAGGAATGAAAAAGTACGGATAGATGTTACAGAAGTAATGAAGCACTTAGTGATTCGTGGATTTATAGATGACTACGTAATATGGACACATCATGACAAACATCAAGTAGACCCTGATGACAAAGAAGATTGGCTGCATGTTGATGACTTGGAGTATGCTGATGGTGATAGTTGTGGTGATATCACTATAGATTTAGAGGAAATGTTATGCCATGCAGAACCTGTGGTGCTAATTGGGTTGTGTAGGGGTTTAGATAATTTTGAAGCTTTACATAAGACAATGAAGGAATATTTGTACGATGAGTCAAAAGGCTGTGACAATGAGTTCACAACATTACGGTCAGTTCTGGAACTAATTATGAGGTTGAAGGCGAGATATGAATGGTCTGATAGTAGTTTCGACAGTTTTTTTGAACTTTAGAAAATCATACTTCTGAAGCCTAGCAGGGAGAATGTACTGCCACATTGTGCTAAACAAATATCTTGATTTTTGTTTAAATAAAAAACTAATTAGTCATCTTAAATGTCTTATTTATGTAATTTAGACTATACACAAAAGTTTTAATCCTCTGTACACAAAATATATATGGACAACTGGTACATATAATGAGTGTTGAATAAAAATATTCAAGATGTAGCAAAGGCAGTTTCATACCTTTCTGTACCAGCGGAGCAGCAAGAGTAGAGTTGAAAGACCATGATAGTATCTGATGGAGCTCGAAGGCTGACCCGGTGGATGTAGAAAACCCCACCGCCACCTCCGGTGGGAGCAAGGTCCTAGGATTTGGTAGTTTTGCGCTGACCTGAATGGGTGCAGAGCTAGAATTAAGAAAATGCAGTGAGACGACCAGCATCATTGTGATGTTGTGAAAGGTGATCGAAGCCTTCATGGTCTCGTTCCCGCTGAAGTTTAAGCCTGTCGTGTTAATCGAATATAAGTCGCCGAGCTGATGTCGATGCCGATGTGGTCACCGTTTTGCTTGGGATCTTCCCAGGGGTTGTTGTACGTGTCAAACTCGACGGCTATGAACCAATCCGTGTCATAGGCAATAGGGAATGCACCGTTCATGAGGCCAAGGGCATACCCTCCTGAATTTTCTGGCAGTCTTGATGGGTAATTCGCAAGGAAGAAAGCCATACCATCTCCCTTACTCTTGTTTTTGTAATCTGAGAGAACAATCTTGAAAGTGAACTTGGTGGCGAAGCTAGCCAACTCGTTGGTGGTTCTGTCCCACAAGGGCACAGAAGAATGATTGTACGACATCTGTCCAGGTTTGCACTTGGAGAAGTCAGTCTTGGATGAGCTGCAGGTGAGGTCGACGAACCCTTTATTCACTTTCGGGTCGGCGCTGCCCTCCAATCCCAAGTCTTCTCCGCGGTACTTCTTGGAGAAGTCGAAGTTGAAGGAGATAGGTGATGTTGGATCTGTTTCTGCAGCACTAGTTAGGTGAGGAGCATCAAGCAGGCAGGCAAGGAGGAAGACGAGCAGGAGGAGAACCTGCGTACGGGCCATCTTGGTTTGGTTGGACTGCACGAAAATATGCAATTTCTAACGACGAAAGCTGGCTTGCTAGGATGAAGAGCTCCCAGACGCCCAGTAATCCACACTATATATGCACTAGCAACAGCCTGTTTAGGTTTTGGAATTAATCATTTTTAGAGCCAATGGAAGTTTATATTGTTTCTCCGGGCAACGTACATGAAGTTTCACGGGTAGTTGAGATCGATCTAACTCCCACAATTTTTTTCACGGGTAGTTGAGATTTGATCCATGTCTCTGAAATTAATATATAGGATATGCTAGTGGTAAGGGGACCAGGATTCAGCAGAATAGAGGGTGGAGCAGCGTATCTTTCCATTCTAGTTAGAAATACATTGTACCATGCATTAAATTATATTCTTCTTGATGAATTGAAATTCAGTTACTTTTTTTACTGAACAGTTATGCACACATTTTACTTTGTTAATTATTGGTGCTATTTGACTAGGCCATTGTGATAGAAACCAGTACTTTTTGCTCTTTGCTTCTATTTGTACTGTCAAATTGCTTTCTAAAGAATACATTTCAGCACTTAGATTTGCAAGCAGTTGTTTCCATGATAGAGTATCCTAACACGTCCTAATCTTGTGCATCTGTTGTGCACTTGTTGTCGAAACAAGAATTTGTCGATAATAAAAGGGGTAGCGCATGAGACCTAAAAGTGGATGGATGCAGAGACAAGGATTTAGAAATGTTCAGGTCCTCTCGATGAGAAGTAATACCCTATTTCTATTTGGGATTTGAATCCGCTGGGTGTATTATAGATCCGACGATCTGATTGTGTATCATGTTCCCTAGAAGGCCTCCTGCCCACCTTATATAGAATGGAGGGCAGAATTACAAGATAGAAGCCTTAACAATACGGTATCGGTTTTCTAAATCTACTATACAATATTATCAAACCAGGACTTTATGCCGTTCCATAATATACAAGGAAACGTAATACCCAAGTCATAATCCGTTATATATTCCGTAGATATAAGTTATCCTCTATAACTAGTAGGATAACCATGCCGTGTGCGTATGGGGTAACCATAATCTCCACAGTAGCCCATGAGGCCTTCACAGTCGAAAAGATAATCTTCTCCCGAACTAGATTACTCCAAAGCCGAGTGCTTTAATCATCTTCGCCATGGTCTCTTGAGCACCTTTACTAAATCAAAAGACTGACTGTGGAGGGTTGAAAAATAATTAAATGTAGACTTAGGTGCATCGACTAGATGCACCTAATAGGTGTAGCCCCCGACTATGTGGTAAGTTGAACAAACTAAACATATAGTCAAGGAGTAAATAATCCAACCACCTGAGTGGATTTGATAATTGTAATCAACTAAATGACTTAATATTAATATATAACATATGCGGTGTGAATCCCCGAATAACATAATCCGAGTGATATACTGACTGCTTTCTAAAATATCATGCGTGTAACCTAGAATTGACAACATCTTTGAAAATTCACATAGCAAAACACCTATAAAAAAGCTTAAATGCTGTGAATAAAGAAATTTCCAAAGTATCGGGCATACACCATGCGCACATTGCTTTAACAAATGTGCTTAAGTCCCTGAAAGACACATGGTTTCACCACACTTGGAAATATATGGCATAAGTGGTGTAAAATCCGAGTAAATAAACTTATAAAGGATTTACCAACCGCCTGAGAAATGACCAAAATATATAATCAACCTAAGCCATAATATTAGTCAATAAAATGCATACTTACGTGGCGAAAAAGCAATGATATTGTATCCAATCAATCGCTTTATAAACCCAAACAACGCCTTGACTTATATAAAAAAAAAGTCAGCGGGGTAGCTATATAAAGCTTTACTGTTTGGCACCTTTTAAAATAAATAGTACCAACTCCTAAAAATTTGAGTAATAGTGGTATAAAAGGATTTTAAGTTATTGGGCACTTGATCACGCGCACTTTTTCCTAAGCAAAAAATGCCCAAGTCCCTAAAAGAACATGACAGGCCATACCTGAAAATATGGGCTGCAGACATATTAGACCTAGGTCTAAAATATGCCCACCGATACCCTTAAAATATGACGTGTATAGCACGCCAATTAATATGCTCCCGATTGATAAATTTCCTGGGTGATGTAGATTGAGCATATCTCGATGGAGTGTACCAAGATAGATGTAAAAATTGAATCCTGACTGAAGCAAGTACTCGACTGACATCCGTTGCGAGGAATAATAATTGATCCAGTCTTTGAGCTTAGAAAATAAACCCATGATCATGAATTCACATTGCATGTATCTAGAACAAAGTCCAAATTGAAGGCATGATACTCACGCTTGAGTTGATGAGCCCCTAAGCATTTAGCTTGTCATTCTGTTGTAATCGCAATTGTCCATTGACTATAGCTGATGCAGTCGGCATTGAGGCAAAATGACCAACATGTAGATGATATCGCTCATTAGAGGTGACAAAGATGTCGGTGGTAGTAAACACAATGACACCAATCAAAGATGATGAAGTCGCACAGCCGTGGAGGCGAAGAAACCAAAGCGACAGAGTTGTGTAGCCATGGCGGCGACAAACGAGGCAGCTGGTGAAGAAGATGAAGACGCCTATTAGCGGCGACATAATAAGCCGGCCGTGAAGGTGAAGACACCATGGGCAGCGGCGGAGGCAAGCCGGTAGTGAAGACGTATACACTCATCAATGGCAATGGCGAAATCCATCAATCATGCAAAATAAGAAAACAATCAGCGACGGCAAACACAATCGGCGATAATGACAATTGGCGGCAACAGAGATAGCCAGCTATGATGACGAAGTTGCGCATCAACGGCAGCAGAGTAGGCATAGCCGAAGAGGCATGGTAGGATGTTGATGAAGATGATGATATCGTTTATCCAGTCAATAATAGTGTAGCAATCAATGATAATGATGAGGTCTCCTATCGGCAGTTGCATAGTAGGCCAACCATGAAGACGAAATAAAAAGTCGGCAATGACGGAAGCAACTGGAGGTGAAGACATAGTCATCCATTAGCAACGGCAGAGACGTCAGGGCCGATGAAATAGAGGTGTTGGTGATGATGTCAATGATAATAATCCATCAAAATGTTGAAAAGATATCCATGTTCGAGTAATGATGTTGGCATGTGTGTGACGAAGATTGATGCAATGCCTCTTGATTGCAGTAAAACATGATTTTGTAGCTGTTGCAGATGCTTCACTTTGTGGAAAAGTAAATGATATTGTCCAAGTCATTGAATCTGAGTTGATTGGATGATAACTGCAGACTCCTTAAGTCGAACTTGGGATGTCCAGAAGCCAAAATTGCCGGTGAAATAATTTGAATTGCTGAAGTAGAGCGCTTGCTCTGAAGCGAAGATGAAGATAACGACTCCTAGGGTTGACTCGTTGAGTGGATAATTGATTGCTTCATCTTGACATAAAACTTGTCGAATTTTGAGTCTTGTATTTGTGTAGCCACCGACTATTTAGTTAGTTGGAAAACAACTGAACATAGAGTCGAGAACTGTAACTTCTTGTCATCGAGTACTCATTGTCTGAGTAGAAATCTTGAAATTTGTAGAATCACTTGTTGTAGTAGAATAACACAACGTCGAATCTGGTGGTGCATGCCGAGATGTCGAGGCTCTTGGAGACGTCGTGTTTGGTGAAGTAGCAAAACTTGCAAAGTAACGGCAATAGAGTTTGTCGGTGCCCAAGACAATGAAGATGAAGTCGCTCCACCATGGTAATAAAGTGAACACGAGTCGGCAGCAACAACAGCAAACCGGTAGCGAAGACGCGTAGTTGTGAAGATAAAAACACCAGTCGGCGACGGCACAACCAGTTGGTGACGGAAGAAGTAGAATGATGATGAAAACAAAGACGTCCTTGAACGGCGACAAAATAGGCCAGCCATGAAAGAGGAGACACCAGTCCGCAGCAGGCGTGGTGGCCAGTCGGTGATGACGAGGATGCCCAACTGCGGTGGCATAAAAGGCCAACCGAGACGGCGAAGACACTAGTCGGCGGCAAATGAGGCGGCCGGTCGGTGATGACATAGACGCCCATCAATGGCGGCATAATAGGCCAGCCGTGCAGGCGGAGATACTAGTTCAACCGCAGACGAGGCAGCCGGTCGGTTTAGACGTAGACGCCCATCAATGGTGGCATAATAGGCCAGCCGTGCAGGTAGAAACACTAGTAGGTGGCGGATGAAGCGACTATTTGATGAATACGAAGACGCCCAACAACGATGGCATAATAGGCTAGCCGTGTAGGCGAAGACACTAGTCGGCGCCAGACGAGGTGGCCGGTTGGTGAAGACGTTGGCGCCCAACAACGGTGGTGTGACCAACAAACCATGTAGATGGAAACACCAGTCGACGACGGACGAGGTGGGTGTTCGATGAATACGATGACGCCCAACAACTATGGCATAATAGGACAGCCGTGCAGGCGAAGTCACCAGTCGGCAGCAGACGAGGCGGTCGGTCGGTGAAGACGTAGATGCCCATCAATGGTGGTGTGACCAACCAACCATGTTGGAGAGAATACTAGTCGGCGGCAAACGAGGCGGCCGGTCGGTGAAGATGTAGATGCCCAACAATGGTGGTGTGACCAACGAACCGTGTAGGCGAGAACATCAGTCAGTAGCAGACGAGACGGCCAATCGGTGAAGACGTAGACGCCCATCAACGGCAGCATAATAGGCTAGCCGTGCAGGCGGAAACGCTAGTCAGCGGCGGCGAAGTCAAGCTGGTCGGTGAAGACGTGGACGCACAACAACGGTGGTGTGACCAACCAACCGTGTAGGCGAGGACACCAGTTGGCGGCGGCGCAGGCAAGGCGGTGGTGAAGATGTAGACACCCATCAACGGCGGCATAATAGGCCAGCCGTGCAGGCGGAAACACCAGTCGGCGGCGGTGAAGCGGCCAGTCGGTGAAGACGTAGACGCCCAACAACGGTGGTGTGACCAACCAACCGTATAGGCCAAGACACCAGTCGGCGGGGACGAGGCGGCCGGTCGGTGAAGATGATGCCCAACAACGGTGGTGTGACCACCCAACCGTATAGGCGAGGACACCAGTCGGCGGCGACGACAGCAAGCCGATGGTGATGTTTTGGCTGATCCAATCCTGAAGCGTAAGAGATAAGCTTAAAGCCATGAATCTCTATTGTTCATATCTGGATCTAGATCTTGCAAAAACAAACATATAGGATGAGTAGTATCCGATGTAAATATAGTAATTGAGAAAGATTCAAGTATTTTAAAATATATATTTCTCCTCTTGTCAATTTTAATTTCCCCGAGCAAGTAACTCCTTACATTTAAACACTTTGCCCGACTAGTCATAGCCTCCAAGCACCGGGAGTCGGCCAAGGCACTTCCCAGATATGCAAATGAGTGACACGAGTTCGTCATTAATGGAACAAAGTTTCACGGATCAGAATTTACTACTCGGGTACTTTTGCAATTGTTAAGAATAGAAAATAAATTATCTTATATCTATGCTTTTGATTTCTTCCGAGTAATACTTAGCATCTTGCGTTATACTGTCTATCCTACAAGCCCCCGGGTGGTTGGAATCGGCCCAAAGGCAACTATCTGTCAACAAATCAAATGGAAAGCCTAAAGAAATAGAGCTGCACAACTCGATAGGCACTTTATTTTTACTCAGATTATTTTGCAAGCAATCAAGATAAATATTATGAAAAAATTTTAAAAAAATATGACATGACGTCTGTAGCCCCTGACTCACTAGTTAACGGTGAACCAGTTGATGTTGTGAGGTAGAGGAAAAGGAAAATATCATATAAAGAATAAATAAATAATGACTTAACTTTTTAGTATTCTCCTCGGTAATGGTAGAATTAGCCAATGTGGGGAGAAAGTCATCCATCAATACCAATGAAAACACCAGTCGACGTTGATGACAGCAGCCGGTAGTGAGGATGTAGACGCCCAACAACGATGGTGTGACCAACCAACCGTATAGGCAGAGACACCAGTCGGCGGCGACGAAGGCAGGCCGGCAGTGAAGATGTAGATGCCCAACAACGGTGGTGTGACCAACCAACCGTATAGGCGAGGACACTAGTAGGCGGCGACGAAGGCAAGCCGGCAGTGAAGATGTAGACGCCCAACAGCGGTGGTGTGACCAACCAACTAACCGTATAGGCGAGGACACCAGTAGGCGGCGGACGAGGCGGCCAGTCAGTGAAGACGTAGATGCTCAACAACAGTGGTGTGACCAACCAACCATGTAGGTGGGAACACCAGTCGGCAGCGGACGGGGCGGCCGGTCGGTGAAGACGTAGATGCCCAACAATGGTGATATGACCATCCAACCGTAAAGGCGAGGACACCAGTTGACAGCAAACGAAGGTGGTCAACGGTGAAAACGAAAACTCCCATCAACAGCGGTGGAGTCCACCAACCTCATAGATGAAAACGCATCACGAGAATGTTGCATCTCAATCCAGGAGCGACAGATTAAACATCAAACTCGCCTTAGGAACAGAATCCGGAATCTCTTGGTAGACTTGCCTTGTGAATGTGTTATAATGGATCTGCACTTGAATTGGCCTTTCTCGTGGAAAATAATTCACGTGAACATGCATGCTGACTGCCCTAAATTTCCTCGATACGCGCGCTGGATTAAATTGGTTATTTTACTACTGTTCTGGGGCGATCGTCGATGTTGGGATTGGTTCCATTGCACTTCTCCGACGGTAAACATAACACGCCAACTGTCGATGTAAGAATTCGTCAATAATAAAAGGGGTAGCGCACGAGAACTAAAAGTGGATCAGAGACAAGGATTTAGAAATATTCAGGTCCTCTCGATGAGAATTATTTCTATTTGGGATTTGAATCCGCCGGTTGTATTATAGATCTAACGATCTGATTGTATATCATGCCCCCTATAGGGCCTCCTACCCACCTTATATAGTATGGGGGCAGGATTATAAGATTAAAACCTTAACCAATACGGTATCAGTTTTCTAAATCTACTTTACAATATTATCAAAACCGGACTTTAGGCTGTTCCATAATATACAAGGAAACGTAATACCCAAGTTATGATCCGTTACATATTCTATAGATATAAGTTATTCTCTATAACCAGTTAAATAATCATTCCATGTGGATATGGGGTACCCATAATCTCCACACTTGTGCATCTTGTGCATCTGCAGGCAGGCCATCTTAGGTTGGACTGCACGAATTGTGCAATTCCTAACTACACAAGCTAGCTTGCTAGTATGAAGAGCTCTCATCGATACGCCCAGTAATCAATACTATATATGCTCTACAGCCTGGTTAGGTTTTGGAATTAATCATTTAGAGCCAATGGAAGTTTATATTGTTTATCCGGGCAACATACGTGAAGTTTCACGGGTAGTTGAGATGGATTTAAAATTTTTTTAATGTAAAATTTGCTACTGAACACTTCAATAATGTGATATTTGCTACGCCCTCCGTCCCATAATATAAGAGATTTTGACTTTTTACTTGCACTGTTTGACGACTCGTCTTATTCTAAAAAAAATTTGTGCAAATATAAAAAACGAGAAGTTGTGATTAAAGTACTTTGGATAATAAAGTAAGTCACAAATAAAATATATAATAATTTCAATTTTTTTTGAATAAGACAAATGGTCAAACATTACAAGCAATAAGTTAAAATCCCTTATATTATGAGACGAAAGGAGTAAAAGACACTATGAAAACGAGTTTTTGCTTATGGACACTATAATTGTGTGGATATTTGCTACAAGACACTGTGGGTATTAAAATAAGGGTTAATTTATTCCATGCCACTATAAATTTAGCTATTCAGAAAAATGCCATTATAATTTATCTATTAGTAACCGTGCTATTGTAATTTTACCAAATTAAAACCATACCACTCCCGTTACATTCTCCATCCATCACCCCATTCCTCCCCCTCCTTCCCCGATTTCACCGGCGTCAGCGAGAGAGGCAACGGTGGCGATTCGGTGGAGCGGCAGCGCGGCGATTCGGTGGAGCGACGATGGCGCTGTGTTCATGCGTGGCGGTCTTAGCGCTCCGGCGGAAGGCAAGCCGCCGCAAAAGTCAAACAACGACACAAAAACCAAATCGTTTCCGATCGTTGGATCTAACAATGTCCATCCTGCCCAGCTAGATCTAACGATCGGAAATGATTTTATACCGTGAGGTACCGTTACCTCGAGGTACTTTTTGTTGGACCGAAGCAAATCTCTTTAAATTTAGATGGGCGAGGATGAGCATATAAGTGTTGACCCTAACCCTTTTTACAAGAAGTAGGTATTACTTTATGCTTGCTTTCATTCTAATTTCATCAAAAGGTATTGTGATTCATATAAACAAGCTATCTACTTTTTTTTTAAAAAAAACTCCACCGATAAAATGGATGCTCTAGATTCTAGAGTCTAGACCCTTGATTGCGATATTATGAATCGGCAGCTAATTTAATATAACTACTACAAAAATGATTTTTCTGAAAGAGACCCTCTTTAGATTGCTGACGGACAGTAACTGGTCGCGTCTACAAAAATCGACCTTTATTTTCACACACAACTCCTTAAAAGAACTGCACGCAAAAATCGATTTTTGCAGGCGGCCTCTTAAGGGTCCACACTAAAAAATAAGCCTATTTTTACATGTGGACCTCTTAAGGAGCCGCAAGCGAAAATCGATTTTCACAGGCAGGCCTCTTAAGGTCTAAAGTCTGATTTACGTCCTCAATTTTTCCCTCAACATTTTAAAATTTTTCATCCTTATCCTCTCTCACTTCCTCTCCTTATTATTTTAATCAGGGAATAAAAAATATTAGCAAACAATGAAATGCATCCATTTATATGTATTATTTCAAACAGGGAATATCAATAATCTATATACAATGAAAATACTAAGCAGCTTATCCATCATTTTAAATTATTTGAATAATTATGTTCGTTGCATTATGTGATTCTTTTCCACATGAGGCTCAAATGTGTAGCCGCCTCTGTTGAAGCCGGAGCTGCCTCATCCTCACTGGTGTGGTAGTGATGCTCATGTGCTCCTCACGTATTAGTACACACAATTATAGAATGTGTGCTACCTTTTATCTCCCTTTACTTTGTTTCTATTGTTTTGTTAGTAAGAGCATAGTGCATAGTTTGATACCTTATACAATCTTGTTCATAATAGTGCAAATGATTAGGTTGTGGTAACTGGTAAGGCTAGCATGCATCGTGGCATACAGCCTTTTTGGCTAATGAGATGTAAAGCACATCCAATTAGAGATGCTATAGAAATGCGCAGATCCCAATAAATCCTCCTAGCTAGAGTAATTAGGTGAGCACGCGGCCGTTAACGTTGTTAAACACCATGTCTTGTTTCGTGCTCTTCTATCACTGGGATATCGGTCAGTCTTAGTCCATCGGTGATCAACCAGGGGCACAAAATCAGATAGATTCAAAGAGTGGCCGGCCAGTACGTACGTCTCGTTTTTTCATGTAATTTGTCTAGTTTTCTTCTGTACCCTGGACCTGGTGTCCTGGTTCAATATTCTCTCCTCCTGCTCAACTAACGCACAGGCATCAGAACGGACGATGGCTGGATGGATGATTAGCACGGTGTTCTTCGTGAATTCGTGGGTGATCCGGTCGTTGGTAGTGTTGAGCTTCACAGCGCATGTCATCGTCGTCTTCCTGGCCGGATTCCGCCGTCGTAATGCGATTGGCGTGCAGATAGCCATCCTGTGGGCGGCGAGCCAACTCGGTCGTTGGGTCGCAACGTACGCGCTCGGCAAGCTGGCCCTCAGAAGCACGCCTCAGGAGCTGCAGCTGGTGACCTTCTGGGGGGCGTTCCTGCTGCTACATGCCGGTGGTCCGGATAACATCACCGCCTACTCCCTGGAGGACAACGTTCTTTCCACTCGCCAGATGTTGGAAATGTTATTTCAGGTGATCGGAGTAGTATATGCCATGTTCCAGAATATTGTCGCCAGAAGTGGCACTGGCACCATGTTCAGCTGGGTCTCTGTAGCCATGTTCATCTTGGGCATTGTCAAGTATTGGGAGAGGGCAGAGGCAATGAAGCTCGCCAACCTAGAAAACATGCGAAGCTCAGTCAAGGCGGAGAAGAATAAGAGGAAGGAGACAGGTAGACGAAGCTTGAGAAATGTTAGGCGTCCGAGCAGTTGGGGCTGCTGGCAGGACAATGAAGAAGAAGCCCTGCTTGTTGCTCATGGCCTGCTCGACATCACCAAAGGAGCCTTCGTCGATTCTTCCATCGACGAGCATCTGCTCCCTGAATATGTTGCCAGGAGACAAGAAATATTCCCTAGTGGTGGCTGGGAGATGATGTACGAGGTGGTCAACATGGAGCTCTCCCTCATGTACGACATCCTCTACACCAAGGCAGCCATGGCGCACACATGGCATGGCTATGCCATTCGTTTCGTCTCGCCGGTCATTACAACCGCTGCTTTCCTGCTGTTTTGGTTCGACAGCAAGGTAGGGCAGCGGATGGCCGATGTGCTGATCACCTATGTCTTGCTGGCCGGCACCGTTCTCCTGGATATCAGATGGCTTCTCAGAGCAGTAGCGTCGACATGGACCTACTAGCTCCTGAATGATAGGCCACGCTTATGGCTTCATCATGCATTTCTGTGCTCTGGGAAATGGCGCATGCTCCGTCGTCTCATCGTCAGCCTAGATCTTTCTTTGCTCCTAGGCAAGGAGCCAAGTAGCTACAGGAAGTGGAGTGGAAAATTTGGGCAGTACAACTTGTTGCATGAGTGCACTCGTGACAAGCAGGACATGACAACAAGGAACTACCTAAGCTCTGTGGTGAAAAAGGTTGCGTCAGAGGACCAGTGGATGGAGTACGAATACCACTATTTGAGGGGAATTCATATTTCAGAATGTTATGTCAAGGAGAAGTTGTTCGGCTGTATTTGGAAATATATGTGTTCAGCGTACCCAGTTGAGCAGGAGAAACTGAAGAAGGAGGCGACGAAATTGAAGGCAGATCCCATCGATGAGGGCAGTCGTGTTAAGGGGCTTCGGGATATAGAAGAAGTTCTGGAGTTCATCCCTGAATTTCAAGAGTCCATTCTTATCTTGCACATCGCCACGGACGTCGTCTTCTTGCACTCTGAAGCTGAACAACATACAGCATCATCCGAGACCAAGCAGGATATGAAGGTGATCAAGATATTGTCGGATTACATGATGTTCCTCGTCGCGGTGCTCCCCGGCATGCTACCAGGCCTCAAGCTACGCAGCCTGTACGATACAACCCTGGCAGCTCTGGAAAAATTATGGAGCGAGAAAAGATCTCTCAGCTGTAGCTCTATGACAAGAGAGAAGTGTCTTACTGATATCATGTTCATGTTCAAGAAGGAGGAGAACATAACAAGAAAACCGGAGAATCGAGAAGAATGGAAGCTTGGCTTGGAAGCTAGAATATATAACCGAGCTTTATAGTTTTAGTATTGCTCTGTCAGATGGGATTAAACTAGCTGATCATTTGCTGCAATGGCTACATCGTAATTACTGGGTCAAATTTCCCAAATCTGAATACTCGTACGAGGCAAAATTTGCACAGATGTTTCCAAAATTGAGCAAAATCCTGAACGGGTGCCCGATGTACGACCACCCCAATAAATGGTCGCAACTGCTTGAACACATCTTCTTGGAGTGGGTGCGTCTGCTGATTAACGCATCCGTCAAGTGTACAAGAGATTCTCACGCCAAGCAGCTCAGCCGTGGTGGTGAACTCACGACAATCGTTTGGATCCTGGTTGAACATGCCGGCATATTTCGCGTGGATCCTCATCGGAAATAAGCCTTTTAGTCCAAAAAAAATCCTCACCAGAGATGAAACTGGTTGATTTGCTCACATCTATGAATTACAGAATTATCTCAGTTTCTGTTAATTTGGTCTCCTGTGATCGAGGGGCGTCTGTTATCTCTTTGTTTCTACCTTTTTTTCTGGAACAAATGTTTGTACCTGTATAACTCGATTTGTAGCTCACAGGGTTCTCAAATCTCAATTATTAATTTATTATATTGGTCTTCAGCTGTCCGTACTGCAGATCTGTGTTAATTATTTGTAGAGTTCTCGTCAATAGGTATGAGAAATCTATACCACGAGGATCAAAATGCTAGAAGAGATCGTAAGATTGGTTCTTACTCATATCCTGAAGTTTTAGCAACAAAATGTGGTATGGAACTTGGGGACACTGTAATAATTGAAACTTCGGGATAACTGCAGTTTCTTATATATGATTAGGAATCAATCCATATGTAGGATACATATATGCATATACAACAATTTGTCATTGTAAAAATATGTAATAGCTTTGGACATTTAATTAGTTATTTGAAACAAAAATGCTAAGGACAATGTGGATATTGGCATATTTTTAGATCATCGTTAAAGTAGTCAGCTCAGTGTACTGATTGCTGGGATATTGGAATCTTGCAAAGTTGATAGACATCTGCCAATGGGAGTCTGATCTCGTGCAGCCGCATGGAGTAGGTTGGATGGTAGCTACAGTACTTCTGACAGCCGCCAAAGGCTTGGTTTATCTGCCGTCATTTTCCCTGATAATGCTTGAGCCTGTTCCCTTCATCTGAGGCAATCAAATAGAACTCCTTGAACTAAAAACATATAGCTGGTGTATTCTTGGAAGAATCCTGTCAGCCAATGTAGGCCTCATTTATAAACTAGAAACATATTCCACGCATTTACATGATTGTATTTGGAAAACTTATAGAAGGAAGGATATCGACCCGATGATACCTGCAATATTTTAAAAGTACTATTTCTTTGTTGGTATTGTTTAGATAATTTTTTTCAAGCTATTTGTTAGATTTAAAATATATAATTTTTAATGCATTCCTACAAAAAATTATTTATGATCTCATCATTATCTAGAAAAGAGTTAAATTTAGTTTGTTTGGAAAAATTGTATAACAAATTATTACCTCCGTCCCAAAATATGAATACATTGTATCGAATGGGATATATTATAGCTAGTACTTTTCCAGATTTATAGTATTAGATATCATCTGGTATAAGTTTGTTATTTTATGGGACTGGATGGAGTAGTAAAACTAAGGTGTTTTGTCTTATATAATTAAATGTTTAGGGGCTATTTCAATAAATCCTAAAGAAAAACTCCTCCAGTCCGACAAGTTGAATATAATTCTTATCATGACAAGGATTGAACCTTGAGACATCTCCCTCACATGCACCTATCTTTACCAACTCACCTATACATCAATCCTGTTAGCAAATAGATACTTTCCCTTTTGAACCTTCCTAACTAAGATTTGAATCGTAGATTTGAGTATCTAAAAGAAATCAAATGAAAAAATTGTCAGCTACAAAATCGTGGACCTTGTCGAGAGCTATAATTTTCATATAAACTTCATTGCAATCTGAGTTTGTATGAAAAAGTTAAATAGGTCAATGGCATCAGTGCCTAGTATTCTAAAGTGCATTCATCCCGCTCCAACCAACAAGACACGACACTGATAAGTCACGAACTGTATTCTAAAGTGCATTCATCCCACTCCATCCAACAAGTCACGACACTGATAAGTCATGAACAATCAGTGTCAAATCATTACAAGACCTGGCACTGATGTCTCCTCATCAATGTCGGGTGAATAATGTGCATCACACGAACTTGTTTTTTGGGGTGGGAAAACATCATTAGTGCCAGGTTTTATCGGACCGGCACTAATAACTATAACCATCGGCAAGACAAATAGCTTCTAAGCCTGTTGTAGGAAATCTACTTAGGGCATTTAGTAGAGCTCCAACTAGTAAATTTAGGGCATGTTTGGCACAGGTTATAAAGGTAGGGGCGAAACATGAAGTGGGTACGATTGGTTAGGGGGAGTTATGCTAAGGGTTTTGTCACAATCACTCACCATGGTGACGTGTCTACGCGGACACGGTGACATGACGGTGAGTTGTGTCTTGTGAGTAGTTGTGCACCTCTGGCCAGAGTAAAACTATTCGAATAGTCATGCCTGCGGTTATGGGCGATTGACCAGCTTCACTGTGATTAGTCCCACTTTATTAATAGCCTGACATAATGAACTGGTGTAGTTCATGTGGTTTGGTGGGGCCTCAACATGGTGTAGCGTTGTTCGGTAGAGATTTAATATTGCCTAAATTAATCAACTGTTTTACTATTTTCAAGTATAAATGTTTACAATCGCCTTTATGCAAATAGTCACCAACCCTCCTTGTTTCCCCTTGCACGGTTGCATCGTTGGTGTGGCTTGCTGAGTACGGTGGTTGTACTCGGTCTTGTTATTATTCCCCCATTTTCAAAAGTGTAGTGCTTCTGAGCTGAAGACGGAGTTAGAAGACTGAGACTTATACCCCAGTTGAGTTTTTACCTGTGGATTGGAGCTAAAACCCCGCTAAGATCGCATTTTTCCGCTGCTGTTGCTTTCTTTTCGGTGTGAGGACTAAGTGACTCTTTTATAAGTATTTACGCTTTATTTACGTTTGGATATGTATATTTACATGTCGTTTTGTGTGCCCTGGCTTGATTCCTGGACAAGAATTTATACACAAAATAGTCTAAAAATTTGGGCTAAATTTTTGGGCGTGACAGGGTAGAAGACCGCATTGAACAAAAGAAAGGTAATGATTTGCCTTGTGTTGGTGAGGGGATCGGTACCTCCTTATGAATACCGCATGCCTTGTGCGCTCGGGAGAGCTCCCTCCCGCTAAAGCTTCCTCAATGCCTTGTCGGTGACAATGGACTCAGGGAGATCCATGGAGCACCGTAGTGGTGTTGGAGGAGATGGGAGGTTTTGAGTATGAAGGAACGAAGGTGAAAGGGTGAGATCAACGTATTAGTGGAGCAAACTGACCCCAAATGGATCTCATAAGGAGATTTTGTAAGTCCCTACCGACGGTTCAAATTTCGAAGTAAGATAAATTTGTGTGGGAAGGGTCTACGGAATTTTATACAGTAGTTTGGGTTGTTGACTTCAATTCAAATTCAAATGTTGATCATGTTCTCAGTTATGATTGAGAGGAAAGCCTTGTCGAGTTCTCCATGTCTACTCGGTGTGTCGAGAATGGCCAAGTGAGTCTGATAAGTTATTTTTGGATATCTGATCGAGAACACTATTATAATCATTTGTATTGAAGTCGGGGGCTACTAGCATACCTCCTATACTTGGGTTCCTGGTGTATAGAGAAACCGCATACATAATGATATATAGGAAGATATACTAAGGTGAGGAGATAAGACAAATTTCGAAGGAAACTACCTGCGTGGGGATAACAAGTGTCAAAGTCCGATCTAGAGAAAAGAAGGTTTTCTCTATCGTGTTGTACCCTTGTTCCACTTGGAGAACAAGGTAATTACTGCTATAAAGACATGGTCCACTATAAATGGAGGGTACAGGTGTCAAAGTCCGATTTGGAGAAAAGAAGGTTTTCTCTATCGTGTTATACCCTAGTTCTACTTGGAGAAGAAGGTAATTACTGTTATAAAGACAGGTCCACTATAAAGGGAGGGCATCAAATCACAAGCCATAGCTAGACCCACATTGAGAAACAATCTAGAGGAAGCCGAAGCCGATTAAAAAATTTTTACACCTAATAGTCTAATAATACGCTTGTATAACATCACAAACTAACTAGTAATTGTATAATATAACACAAAATTAAGCATAAAGATATATTCGTAAAATTGTTTATTTTAGAATTGTTTAATACATTTAAGTATTAATTGTTTAACATATCAAAGTGGCAGCATATGAAATTAAACATATAAAGGTAGAAAATTGTAAGACAATAAAACACTTACAATCCAACTTTTTGATGCTTGAATTTTTTGAAAATGAGTGAAGATGTCCTCATCTTTCAAGTATTATTTGCAGCATCTCTTTCTAAAAAGCATTTCAAATCAGTAGCAAATAAACCCTTCCTCTTCATTTATGATTCAGACCTGAAAATTAACCAATATGGTATTCCTACGAAGTGCCATCTTCTCCATGCATGATCCACCTCATGGACTAAGGAGCAGTCTGCAAACCATAGTTCTATTCTCAATTCTCAAACTGTAAGCTCAACGTACACACCTGAAACCTAGGTAGATAACATCACTGTAACAAATACTAGAATTATAGAATATTTTTCCTACTAAGCAGATTGCAAGCCGATGCCCGAGCTAGAGGGGAACGAAAGGTCGAAGTTGCTCCCGTGCACCCACACCGGTAGGGGCGGATCCCACATAATTCATGGGTATTCAGCTGAATACCCATGAATTTTGGACACAACCCTAATATATATTGACCATAATATATATGTACCACCATAGTCTATCTAGATTTGTGATATTTATACCCTAACAATTCAATTCCACCCTTTTCTAGCTCTCCTCAGCCCAACAAGATCAATAGTCTTCCTAGTCCCTCCCTTTCTTTTGTAATATATTCATGCTAATTTGATTTTCTTGTTTACATTTTGGTTGTGGCAATTAATAAGCAATTACTTTAATGCCTACTTCCTCCGTTTCATAATGTAAGACTTTGTGTCTAGATTCGTTAACATCTATATGAATATGGTTAATGCTAGAAAGTCTTATATTATGAAACGGAGGGAATAGTTATCTTTGCAAATTGTATATACATCTATATATTGCCCACTCAGTTGTTTTTCTCTACATGTTGTTGTCTAATTGATATCAATTGTCCTACGGAAATAAGTTATATTCCTTTGCTAGCTACTAGTTTCTTCGTGGTTTATGAGTGTTTTCCTTCATTAGCAATAAATCAGAATATCTTTGCTACATAAAGCTGTCGACCTATGCTATACAATCTCTAGAAATTCCGAACTCTTTGGTACTCTTCACTCATACTTAGATCAATAGAAAATTGTTTGATGCTGATTATAGGAAATTATAAATGTTTCTATATATCTATCTATCTATCTATTATATACTAAAAATCCATTAAACTCCCTATAAACACTCTCAAGCTGCCACGTGGCTCCCTCAAGACGCTCTCATGTTGCCACGTGGCACTCTAATAAAATAGAGAAATCTAACCATTGATTTTCATTTAAATCGGTGGACCCATTATTTTACATCGTTAGATCTATCTTCAAAATCAAAACCTCCCACCGGCCCCACTTCCATGCAGTACGCACGTACTACTCCATCTGTTTCGTTCTCATTTTTTTCCCTTTTTCCATTCTTTTCTTTTTCCAAACACAATTAAAATTGAACTTATCTTTATCGAAAAGAATACCCTCATAAATAGACATCAAACGCGTTAAAGTTATTTACTACCACTAGATTTATCTTAAAGAAAAAGTTAACAACACAAACCTAACCCCACCTAGCATGTAGATCGTACGTACATACTTATATATCATATACAACTACCTATTATATACGAAAATAATAATAATATACCTCATATATTATTATTATTATTATTATTATTATTATTATTATTATGTAACATATATATCATATGTCTCCCCTTCTCTCTACTTTCTATTTTATAGCTAGCAATTCAAGGTAAACATGATGAGCTAAATTGTCATGATTTAATTTATAATTAAACAAATTAATTTAAGATCAATAAAATCCAAAAGTTCTAAGTAAAATGCAAAACATCATATCATCGATTTACACTTAAACTGATGAAACTATTATTTTCGATGATTAGATTAGATTTATTAAACTAATTAATCCATCACTGCTAATCTTCTCCGTAATTTAAGATTAAAAAATTCAAAAAGTTGTGAGAAACATACAAAATATGGCACCATCGATTTACACTTAAATCATTGAGCCTATTATTTTTAACCATTATAAATCTATTAAACTACTTAATCCCTCTGTCCTAATCTGATAGGTAATTATATAATTATAATAATCGATTCATATTACACCACCCTCTTCCTAGATTAACTCATCCTTCTTATATATATTTTTATGTTTTATTAGTTAGAAAGAAAAATCTTCTATTATATACTAAAAGTCCATTAAACTTCCTACAAATACTCTTAAATTACCATGTGGCATCCTACAACACACTCCTAAACTGCTACGTGGCGTTCTAATAAACCGGTAGACCCACTATTTGTTTAATAAATCGCTAGACCCACTATTTTCAACTATTATATTTATCTTTATAAAAAAATATCCCACAACCCATCCCTTCTCCCAGTGGCCCACCCTCTCCTCTCCTCAGTAAGTGCATTATGTACGTATGTACGTACGTAGTGCAATGCCATGCTTTCTCCCCTCATCCAATCCTTCTCTTCCTATTTCTAGATGAAAATTTTAACGTGGAAAATATATTATAATAAAACATCTAACCTTCGCTTTTCACTAAAATCGATCGGTGAACCAATTATTTTAACCATTGTCCCTGAAAAAAATATTTTAACGATTATTTAAACCGGTGAACCCATTAATCTATATATAAAAGAAACACTTCCCTAAATTTTACCATAGACCATTGTGTATTGCATGAAAACCTAATAAAAACAAAATATTAAAAATGGCAATATATATTATGGAGTAAATTTTACAAACCCACGAAGATATATCTATCTATTATATACTAAAAGTCCAAGAGAAACAGTCCAAAGATGACACATGTCACTCTAATTAATTCCTAGAAAATCTATGGAAAAAGGATAACATCTAACCGTCACATACCATTAGATTTATCTTTAGTAAAAAATATAAGATCAATATGGCGGTACGAGTCCGCCCAATGCACGTACATGCTTCGATTCATACGCATGATAAGAGTCTGTGTGATTTTTTCCTTGCTCGCGTCCCTTTTTTTCTATGGTAATTAAGTTAATTTCATCGTATTATCAAAGACTGCATGCACATGCAAATATAACCATAGATAATATACCTCATACATATTGATCTTGGTATGTTTTATAAATAAATAAAGAATCTTCAATAGCTGTAAAGTTTAAATTATATATTCAATTTATGATGTGTTTGAACCATTGTATTTTTTTAATTAAATCAATATTTTAATATCTATACAAACTATATTTAAATTGCTAATAAATTATTATATTTTGGACCCACATCCATACAAAAAAAATCCTAAAAGTTCTCATTAAAAATCAAAATATCCACCTTATTTTTTTAATAAAATCAAAATAACCTATAAATCATTAACCTTAACCTTAATTATAACATCAATGGACCTATTGACTCATAACCAACTTAATTATATCTCTCAACGTGTATTTGGATGCTATTTACTTAATCCCAATGCCTTGATAAAAGATATGATCTTTTTTGAGGATAAATGAACAATTTTATGCTGTGTTTGGCGCGAAGAGTTGGGAAACCTTAATCTACTCTATAATTCAACAAATACTTTCACTCATCCTTTCATTCTTTCATTCATCACTCAATAGATCAGATTCATCCTGTGAAAACCGAACGGTCCAGATCGATCCCCGCCTCCCATCTCTGTCAAACGCGTAATCCCCCCGATGCGTGATCTCCCCGACTCCCCCAATCCCGCACCCGCGCCGCATCCCCCTTCCCATCCTCTCTCTCTCTCTCTTTCTCGCATCCATCGCCTCCCTAATATGCCGCCGCCGTCGCCTCGCCAATACGTCGCCGCCGTCTTCTTCCCCACCCTTCCTCACTCTCGTGCCTCGCCGCCACCCCACCCCACCGCCGTCGCCCCCTTCCTCAATCGCCACACGCCGTTCTGCTCCTTGCCACCACCAATCCCCGCCGCACGAAGCCGTCCCGTCGCCAGGATGCCGTCGACGCCTTCCGGGGTGATCTGCTCCTCACTGCCACCGATCCTTTCTCGGTCCAACGGCGCGGCTGAGGCTGTGGAATCTAGCAATCGATCCGTATTCTTTTAAACTATGCTACTGTATGTGTGCAGGTGGTTATTGATCTCCGCGCCTTGGCCTACAGCAATGGACAACGCTGTTGGGATCCCTAAACTCATGATTTGTCTGTAATAACAGGTAATGACTAATGAGGGCCCGTTTAGTTTCCAAAATTTTTTCCCAAAAACATCGCACCGAATCTTTTGACACATGCATAAAGTATTAAATATAGATAAAAAGAAAAACTAATTGCACAGTTATGAGGAAAATCGCGAGACGAATCTTTTAGGCATAATTAGTCCGTGATTAGCCATAAGTGCTACAGTAACCCACATGTGTTAATGACGGCTTAATTAGTCTCAATAGATTCGTCTCGCGGTTTTCCGGCGAGTTCTGAAATTAGTTTTTTTATTCGTGTCTGAAAACCCCTTCCGACATCCGGTCAAACGTCCGATGTGACACCTAAAAATTTTCTTTTCCCGAACTAAACAGGGCCTGACATGTTAAATTGCTTTTCAGCTTTTGTATCCGATGTAATCACTTTTCTGTCAAGTCACATCCGATACTTATTAGATGCTAATAAACTAAATCTGCATGACAGCAATTACAGGTTGAATCAACTAATTTTCTGACAGTAGATGTGCTGACGTTCCTATATTGCAGTTGAATTTAACTTCAGAATATTGCTGCTAGCTTCCGGCCTCCTCAACATCAGATCAGTGTTTCAGGTGTGTGTGTCTCATTGAAATTTCTGCTTTGCCAATGGTACGACAATTTTAAGTGTACGTAAGTGTCGATGAATTTCTCAGAAAAAAAAAGAACTCCAGTTCAGTCTGCATTGCGTGGTGATGCATAGCCCACAATAGCAAGAGGTTTGTTCTGAGTCACAACGTCAGTACACATGGATGGTGAAAAAACAATGATAATTTCCCTCTGTTTTCCTGAAAGTTATTTTAAACCAATATAAGGATCTGGCCACATGCATCAAGAGGAGTAAATGTGTTATTATGTGGGATCCTAACAGTTTTTTTTGGCTATCAGATTAGACAAAGCAAATATTAAATGGGGGCAAATACTAGATGTTTAATATCCTATGGTACAACATTCTCACAAATTACAATTAAGAAGTATCAATCTCGATGAGAAACACTGTAAATATATGTAATAAATATTGATATCAACGCTATTGTGAATTATTTTGCGTGTCATGGATATATGTATTATATACCATATTGTTATGCATTATGCATCACTTGGAGGCTCTTCTTTGCACCCTCGCCCTCCTGTGAGTCAATCCTTCACGCCGGTGGCCTCATCTTCCCCACATCTATATATGGGTGAATATTTTAGGGGATTGAATTTTCAGACGTTGTCAGGGCCCCCGGGATTTTTAGTCCCGGTTTGTTACCAACCGGGGCTAAAGATCCCGGCGATCTTTAGCCCCGGTTGGTAACACCAACTGGGACTAAAGATCCCCCCTTTTTATATATGCCTTCTTTCTTCGCCAGCCCGAGAGCAAGCTTCAAAATTTCTCAAGGAAAGAGGGGAGATCATGCCAAAATTTCTTGTGAAATTTTTTTAGTGATTATATATAAATCGGAGGTGTCTAAAAGGTCAGTAACTTCATCCTCTAATTTTTTTGTTGTTTTATTACTTTTGGAGCTATGTTTCACACATTTTTTTCTCCAAAACTTTGTTGTAAGTTGATGAGAGAGAAAATTTGTGTGGGAAAGAAGAATATATAGAAATTTTATTCTCATAGTTTAAAATATGATGAACATTAATCTTAAAAAATAGAAAACAAACTAAATTGAAAATTAAGAGAAGTACAACATTAATATTAGTTTAGAACTTCAAAAATGTTAATAAGAATTGCTTGTCGAAAGAGTTTTTAATTATTTTATCAATACTGTTTGACTGTCATTATTGTACGAAAATTTATTTATGTACGATTTTTTTTTCATTTCATGTAGATGAATCGGCAATGGATGTACGCTGACCGGCGGTCCAAAGAGTTTATCGAGGGCGTGCATTATTTTTTGAGAGTGGCCAAAGCAAACAAGCGTAATGGTTTTATTTGTTGTCCATGTAATAAGTGTAAGAACCAGAAGGAATATTCTGCATCCAGGACTATTCATTTCCACTTGTTTGAGTTGGGGTTCATACCAAGCTATAATTGTTGGACATCCCACGGTGAGCAAGGGGTTGAAATGGAAGAAGGTGAAGCGGAGGACGAGAACATTCCCGACTGAGCTCATTACGCTGGATTTGAAGGAAATCAAACGGACGAGGTGGACAGGGATGCTGGCGATAACGACGTTGCGGATGATCTTGGTCAGATGTTGCAGGATGCAAAGGAGAACTGTGAAAGTGAAAAGGGGTGTCATAAATTGGAGCGGATGTTAGAGGACCACAGAACGTCGTTGTACCCAGGTTGCGAGCAGGGGTACAAAAAGTTGTATACCACTCTGGAGTTCTTGCAATGGAAGGCAAAAAATGGTGTTAGTGACAAGGCATTTGGCGATTTATTGAAACTCGTCAAGAACATTCTTCCGGAGGGAAACAAATTGCCCGAGACAATGTACGAGGCTAAGAAGATAGTCTTCCCTCTAGGACTGGAAGTTCAGAAGATTCACGCATGTCCGAATGATTGTATCCTATATTGCGGTGAGGAGTACGAGAACCTAGAAGCATGCCCTGTTTGTAAAGCACTACGATATAAGATTAGACGAGATGATCTAGGTGAGGTTGACGGGCAGCTAACGAAGAAGAGAATTCCTGCTAAGGTGATGTGGTATTTCCCTATAAAACCACAGCTAAGGCGTTTGTTCAGGAACAAGGGGAATTCTAGAATGATGCGTTGGCACGGTGAAGGACGTCAACAGGACGGGATGCTGAGACACCCCGCCGATGGTTCGCAGTGGCGAAACATCGACAGAAAATTTAAAGACTTTGGTCGCACGAAACATATGGTTTGGTTTAAGTACGGATGGCATGAATCCTTTTGGAGAGATGAGTAGCGGCCATAGCACTTGGCCCGTTACGATGTGTATCAACAACCTCCCCCCTTGGCTATGCATGAAGAGGAAGTATATAATGATGCCGATTATTATTCAACGCCCCAAGCAACCTGGTAACGACATCGATATGTACCTAAGACCACTGGTCGAAGATCTAAAACTGTTGTGGAAGAAGGAAGGTGTCCCCGTGTGGGACGAGGACAAACAGTAGGAGTTTAACATAAGAGCGCTGCTGTTCGTAACCATCAACGATTGGCCTGCACTTAGCAACCTATCCGGGTAGTCCAACAAGGGGTACAAGGCTTGCACACACTGTATGGATGAAACAGAAAGTACGTATCTTAAGCACTGTTGGAAGGTTGTGTACATGGGTTATCGTCGATTCCTTGTAGCAAACCACCCAGTACGAAAGAAAGGCAAGCACTTTGAACATACGGCGGACCACCGTACGAAGCCAAAACATCGCAGTGGTAAAACAGTGTTTGCTATGGTGAAAGATTTTAAAGTAGTGTTTGAAAAGGGGCCTGGCAGCAAGGCTATAGAGAGCGAAGATGGTCATGCGGTGATGTGGAAAAAAAACTCCATATTTTGGGAGTTACCCTATTTTGACAATCGACATGATGCACCTCACTAAGAACCTTTGCGTAAACCTTCTTGGCTTCCTAGGTGTATATGGAAAGACGAAAGATACACTGGAAGCACGTAATGATCTGAAGCATATGGAACAACGCGGCAACCTTCACCCAGAACCAAAAGAGAAAGGAAGCCATTACTTGAGTCCAGCCAGCTACACTCTTAGCAACGCAGAGAAGGACAGTATGTTTGAATGCTTGGAGAGCATCAAGGTAACGTCAAGATACTACACGAATATAAAGCGAATAATAAGCACGAAGGAGAAGAAGTTCACAAACCTAAAGTCTCATGATTATCACGTGTTGATGACACAGCTGCTACTAGTTCTAATAAGGGGTATCCTCCCAGACAATGTCCGGGTAACAATAACAAAGCTATGTGCTTTCATGAACGCAATTTCGCAGAAGGTCATCGATCCGGATAGATTAGAAGCCCTTCATAATGATGTGGTGCAATGTCTTGTCAGCTTTGAGTTGATATTTCCATTTTCATTTTTCAATATAATGACGCATCTGCTTTGTCACCTTGTCAAAGAGATCGGTATTCTCGGCCCTGTGTACCTACACAACATGTTTCCTTTCGAGAGGTACATTGGCGTTCTGAAGAAATATGTTCGTAACCGTGCTCATCCAGAGGCAAGCATCGCCAAGGGGTATGGAACAGAGGAGGTCATTGAATTTTGCATAGAATTTATTGAAGACCTTCGCCCAATCGGGGTACCTGAATCACAACATGAAAGGAGACTACGGGGAAAGGGGACTCTCGGAAGGAAAGCAATAATGACGGTAGACTACAATTTATTTCGTAAAGCCCATTTCACGGTTCTGCAACAATCTTCATTGGTGGCTCCTTACATCGAGGAGCACTTGGCTCTAGTTCGTGCCAGAAACATCGGTAAGTCCGATGCATGGATTACACGGCATCACATTGATACTTTCTCCGCGTGGCTGGGACAACATCTCATGGGTAACGAGACGATTAACCAACAACTGGCCTTCCTGGCGAGGGGACCATCTGGCTCGATCGCGACATTCCAGGGATATGAAATCAATGGGTACACATTCTACACGAGAGTCCAAGACATGAAGAGCACGAACCAGAACAGTGCTGTTCGTATCAATGCCATGGGACACGATGGTACAAGTGGCACGTATTACGGTGCCATCGAGGACATATGGGAACTTGACTATGGACCTCTCAAGGTCCCTTTGTTCCGGTGCCAATGGGTTAGGTTGAATGGTGGAGGCGTAACGATTGATGACAGTGGGATGACAACGGTTGACCTTAACAAGGTTGGATACTCGGACGAACATTTCGTCCTTGCCAGTGATGTAACGGAAGTTTTTTACGTCAAGGACATGTCTAGCAAAGGAAAAAAGGGCAAAGGGCCTGACGAACCGAAGTGCCCCGTGGTTCTCCCAGGAAAAAGAAAAATCGTCGGAGTAGAGGACAAGACTGACGTGGATTACGATCAGTTTGATGGGCAACCCCCTTTCACGGTGACGATTGACCCTAGCATCCTCCTATCAAATGAAGACACCCCTTACTCACGTAGCGATCACAAGGAAGGAACAATAGTGAGGAGAAAGTACGTGCGGTCAACCGTCACAGCCGATGTATTGCCGTAATTGTTGTGTACACGATGTAAATTATTTTGGATGTATTGAATATCCATACAAATCAATTGTTGTATGGCATATGTTAATTATGTATGATTATTAGAATTTTTATCAAATTGAAATCATCCATATGCTAGTTATATATGATTATTAGAATTTTTAAAAGTTTTAAATCATGCACGTGGTATTTACATATGTTAATTAGAATTTTCAACAATTTATTATCGTGATATGCTAATTATATATGATTATTAGAATTTGTATTAATTTTAAATCATGCATGTGGTATTTACATATGTTAATTAGAATTTTCAACAATTTAATATCATCATATGATAATTATATATGATTATTAGAATTTTTATTAATTTTAAATCATGCATGTAGTATTAACATATGTTAATTCGAATTTTTAACAATTTAATATCATCCATACTCTAGTTATATATGATTATT